GCCTAGTTACTCCTATTTGGGTAATAGAGAGTGAACCGAAGTGGGGACGTTACACTAAATCAAATTAACCTAATTAATTCTAATATAAAACTAATTAAATTTAAACCTAAACCAAATTAACTTAATTAAATCTAATTCAAATCTTATTAAATTTAAAATAAAAAATAATTAATGTTTTCCAATATAAATAAATTAAAAATCAATCAATTAATCAAAATGAACCTAATCAATTAATTAAACCTAATTAATTCTAATTCAAACCTAATTAAATCTAAATCAAATTAACTTAATTAAATCTAATTCAAACCTAATTAAATTCTAAAATAAAAAATAATTAAAAATCAACCAATTAATCAAAATTAATCTAATGAATTAATTAAACCTAAATCAAATCAAATTATTTAATTATAATTTAAAACTAATTAAATTTAAACCTATGTCAAATTAACCCTAACTCAAATCTAATTAAATTTAAAGAATAATTAATAAATAAATTAGCCTAACGATTAACAAAATAATTTAATAAATTAATCAACAGATTAACAATTAAATATATACAAAATTATAAATAAACTAAATACATTTAAAATTAACCTAAAAATTATGATAACTTACTAACTTTTATTAAGAAACAAAAGAGTTAGAGAACTTATTTAATTCGGAGGGAAGAGACCGAGAGGAAGGAAGAAAAAATGAGAGTTTTTAAGGAGAAAAGAGTTTAGAGTGGGTGTGGATTGATGAAGAGTGGAGGAGTGAAGTTTTTGTGATGGTTTTGCATGGGGGAAGGATAGGCGGTTAGAGGAGGAGAAGGAGAGGAGAAAAAAGAGGGAAAAAGAAAGGGAAAGGAGATTTAATTAGAGATTCATATCGGCGATGGATGCAATCCCATTGTTGATTAGTCGTTATTTAGCGATGAACACAAGTATTCATCACTTAGTCAACATTAAATAAGTAGCTTTTTTATTCCAAAAGACCATTCATTTTTTTAGAATTAACGACGGCTACATCCGTTGCTAATTCTACAAAGGAGAAGTCCTTTAGTATCGGATCTATCATCGTTGAAGCTAAATATAAAAATAGCGATGGACGTAATAGTCCGTCGTTGAATTCCCTAGTAATGCGAGTCTTTAATTCATTACTAAAACACTCGGAAAAGTTTTGGAGTCACAAATGACAATGGACTTTTCATCCGTCGTTGATAAGCCATCGCCAAACCATCTTTATGCCGTCTTTAAATCCCACGAGATCCTATTCTCGTCAATATTTAGTGGCGGACTATAATTTGTTGCTAACGTCACTAAAGTCCGTCGTTAAACCTCAATTTTGTTATAGTGACGAGAACAATCTTTCGTTCAATTCATCGGTTTGCGTAGCTTGGACAAATGTCAAAATCATGAAAAAATAACATGAATTAGTGTATAATAAAATTAACTAAGGTTTTAATTAATTTTTATGAACAAAGGAAGCCTATATACAATTGAAGGGAAAAAAATTAAATATAACATAATGATTTATAGTATAAGAAATAGAATGATCGCTATGATTATTTGAAAGCAATATTATTATAATATCTATAACTTAATAACATAACAAGATAAAGTTTAGATTCAATAATTACAAATAATACATATTTGTTTGTAATCTCTCTCTCTCTCTCACTCACTCACACACACACACACACACACACACACATATATATATATATATATATATATATATATATATATTTGTTTGTTTGTGTGTGTTACGAGTAATGTCTAATCGATTTTTGCATCAATTAAGACTAAATTTATTATTTTTTGGGTTAAATCAACGTCAAATTACGGCTAATTTTTAATCAATTCTAAAGATTAAATAATATAATCATAATGCCTTTCAAAACTTTTAGTGTTTTTGTATATAATAATTTAAAATTAAAAAAGTTACCTTTTAATCCATTATACTTAATTTTTGTGAATCATTTTTTTTTCATGAATGGATTCAACTAACTAAATTTAAACCTAAATCAAATTATCTTAATTAAATTAATTCAAATCTAATTAAATTTAAAATAAAAAATAATTAATGTTTTCCAATATAAATAAATTAAAAATCAATCAATTAATCAAAATTAACCTAATCAGTTAATTAAAACTAAATCAAATTAACCTAATTAATTCTAATTCAAACCTAATTAAATTTAAATTTAAATCAAATTAACTTAATTAAATCTAATTCAAACTTAATTAAATTTAAAATAACAAATAATTAAAAAAGTTTCAAGTATAAATAAAATTAAAAATCAACCAATTAATCAAAATTAACCTAATTAATTATACCTAAAACTAATCAAATTAATTAATTAATTATAATTCAAACCTAATTAAATTTAAACCTATATCAAATTAACCCTAACTCAAACCTAATTAAATTTAAATAATAATTAATAAATAAACTAACCTAATAATTACAAAACAATTTAGCAAATTAATCAACAAATTAATAATTACATATATAAAAAATTATAAATCAACAAATTACATTTAAAATTAACCTAACAATTATGATAACTTACTAACTTTTATTAAGAAACAAAAGAGCAAGAGAACTTATTTAATTTGGGCGGAAGAGATTGAGAGGAATGAAGAAAAAATGAGAGTTTTTAGGGAGAAAAGAGATTAGAGTGGGTGTGGGTTGATGGAGAGTGGAGGAGTGGAGTTTTTGTGGTGGTTTTGGGTGGAGGAAGGATAGGCAGTTAGAGGAGGAAAAGGAGAGGAAAAAAAATGAGGGGAAAAAGAAAGGGAAATGAGATTTAATTAGAGATTCATATCAACGATGAACGTGATCCCATTGTCGATTAGTCATTATTTAGCGATGAACATAAGTGTCCGTCGCAAAGTCATCATTAAATGAGTGGCTTTTTAATTCCAAAAGACCATCCATTTTTTTAGAATTAATGACGGATACATCCGTTGCTAATTCTATGAGTGAAAAGTCCTTCGATGGCGTATCTGCCGTTGCTCGAAGCCAAATATAAAAAATAGCGATGGACGTAATAGTTTGTCATTGAATTCCCTATTAATGCCTTCTCTAATCTGTTGCTAAAACACTCGGAAAAATTTTGGCGTCACAAATAATGACGAACCTTCATCCGTTGTTGATAAGTCATTGCCAAACCATCTTTATGCCATCTTTAAATCCCACAAATGCTATTTTATCGCTATTTATTTGTTATTTAGTGACGAACTATAATCCGTCACTAACATCACTAAAGTTCGTCGTTAAATATCGATTTTGTTGGAGTGATGAGAATAATCTTTAGTTCAATTCATCCATTGTGCGACTTGGACCAATGTCAAAATCATGAAAAAATAACATGAATTAGTGTATAGTAAAATTAACTAAGGTTTTAATTAATTTTTATGACCAAGGGAAGCCTATATACAATTGAAGGGAAAAAACAAATTAAATATAACATCATGATTTATAGTATAAGAAATAGAATGATCGCTATGATTATTTAAAATTAATAACATAACAAGATCAAGTTTATGATTCAATGATCATAAACAATACATATTTGTTTGCAATCATTCATATATGTATATTTTTTGTTTGTTTTTTTGTGTGTTATGGAGTATTGTTCGACCAATTTTTACATCAATTAAGACTAAATTTATTATTTTTTAGGTTAAATCAACATCAAATTACATCTAATTTTTAATCAATTCTAAAGATTAAATAATATTTCTTTATCTTTAAAGTAACGATATTTTTATTGAGATTGTATTTAATTATCTATAATTATCGTAATCCCAAATCAATGAATTAAATTCTAAAAAGATAAAATAACTTTTTTTACGATTTAAAAAATAAATTTATTTAACAATTTGTAATTATTTGTTACAAACAAATAACATTTTTATAAAAGCAACAATATCCTTTTCGACGCACAATGGGACTATAGTATCAATAATTAACACAATTATGAAATAATTAGTTAAATTATTAAATATAAGATATCTTATTACGGTCTAATAAATGAAAAATAATTAATAATCCATAACTTAAAGTTAATATAATCATAATAGCTTTCAAAATTTTTAGTGTTTTTGTATATAATAATTTAAAATTACGAAAGTTATATTTTAGTCCATTATACTAAATTTTTGCGAATCATTTTTTTTCATGGATGGATTCTTTAAATATGCTCAGTAACCCCAATCAAAAATTTTATCCATCACCTACGTGGGTTGTTGTCATGTTAGGCATTGATAAATTTTATGGGCATGCCCTAAGGGCATTAATGTAACCCAAAAAACAAAACCCTACGAAGAGATAAGAAAGAACCCGTCATTTTCCATATCTCCGTTTGGAGAGACAAGAGCAAAAATCGCCTCCCTCTCTAACACAACACAAGCTTACGTCAATCTCAAACACAAAAAGATCCTGGTCAACATCCGCCGTCCACGTGGTAAGATCTCCCCTACTATTTTTAGAAACCTGTCTCTATTGCCCTTTCATCTCTTTCGAAATTCCATTGGCCCACGTGTCCATCTTCTCGAACTATCAGAAAAAAAAAAATATATACTTTACTCCTTAAACCGGGAAAAAAATATTCATAAGACCCACAAAATTTAAGCTTGCACATGCACAAGACCCAATAAACATACGTGCCCCTAATTTAGCTCTAGAACTCGACACTTTTCGAATTCTGATTGCCTATTCAGGTGGGCCCAAGGCCAAACCTCTTGTCATTGTAGTGGGCCCAAAGAAACCCGCTACAAATGCCACGTTGTGAATTTCAACCAATCCCCTTCCTGTGCTGTTAAACTCACAGCTCTCACACGTGTCTCCAATCTCACACGCGTCATCCCTACAGTCCCTATAAAATACCACCACTACACCACCTTGCAATTAGTGCCTTCATTTAAGAAAAACCAAAATAGAGAGAGAGAGAGAGATAAAGATAAAGCAACTCTGAGTTCTAGAGAGAAAGAGAGAGAGAGAGAGAGAGGGAGATGGATGGTAGAGGAGGGTGTTGTATTGCAAGATATGCAGGAGGTGGAGGAGGAGCGTACGATATGGCGAAGGTGGACCGGATAATGTTAAGGTTCAGGCCAATAGCGCCTAAACCAGCCACGGCCACCGCTGCTTCTTCTGTTTCAGGTGGTGGGTCGTCGCCAGAAGTGAGTGACGTCAGCCCTAGGTCTGGTAGAGGCAAGAGAAAGAACAACAATACCAGTAGTGGTAATAATAGCAAGAAGTGTAATAGTGGTGGTGGTAATAGAAAAAGAAAGGCTTTAAGTGAAGATAATAAGGTGGTCGTGGTTGATTCTGTTGTAACCTTGCCCCTCTTGCCTGAAACACCTGACCGGAGTGATTTCCCGGCCAAAGAAACTAAGTCAGAAGTGGGTTTGGGTTCCGTTTCGCCTAAGCAAGTTAAAAGTATGCCTACGTGGCTTAGTTTTGGTGGCAATGTGAAAGATCATGATGTTGGTCATAATCAGACGGTGGACTTTGGTGTGTCAGCAGATCGGACGGCTGTGATGCCACGACTGATGAACATATTGGGGTCATGTGTCACAGTTGAATGCGTGACTGACACGTGGGTGGATGTGGATGTGTTAGGGCGTACAGATGGGGAGAAGAGGGTTAATCTGGAGAAGGACACGTGCCCGGGTTTTATATCTGACGGTTATGGTAGGGTGACGTGGACAAATGAGGCTTACAGGAAGATGGTGGGCCAGGGGAAGGGAGGAGATCATCAGGTGTTTGTGTGGTTGGCGATGAAGGAGAAAGTGCCAATGGCGGTAACACTAGCAGGTCACAAGGCTTTTACGTGCAGGGTTAGGGTGCAGTACCAGAAGTACGACACGTTTGGGGCTAACGGGAAAGAGAAGAATTCGATGATTACAGTGCCGTGTGATGTGTGGAGAATGGACGGTGGTAGTTTTGCATGGAGATTGGACGTCAAGGCTGCTCTTTGTTTGGGCCGGTAAACTAAAGAAGAGATAAACAAATTAAGAAATCAAGCCAGTTGGCTATCTTGTGACTATGGTGGATTTTGCAGGTGTTCATATTATCATTATCAATATTTTATGACCTTAGTAGTAGTACTATTAGTATTGTTAATTATCTTAAACTGAGGCTTTAACATGGACATGATGATGATCAAACCTTAAAATTGTGGATAGTTTTGGTTGGTCCAGCTTATCTCTGATGTTTGCTTTTTACTACTTCTTTTTACTGTTCACCCATGTTCCTATCTCTCCATCTTTATTTTCTTTGGGTTTTTTTTATGTTCGTTCAAGTTTAAATATTTGTTGTTGAGAAACATTTTGGAAAGCAAAGTTCAATGTAACGATAATAATTAGTAAATCGTTTCTTTAAATATTCTCTTGTACTATTTTGAGTTATTTATATTTTTATGTGGTGTGTCTTATTCTTTCTTTGATCCGTTGCATGTTGCACTCGCACTCATAGCAGCAGCAGCAGCAGAGAGAGGGGGAGAGAGCTGTATTTTTTGCTTGTATGGTGTTATTTGGAAGAGGGCTAACTGTTTAGGTGTTTGCACGGCTCTTGATTAGGTTTCCCGTACGTTTTTTCAATATACGTGTACAACAGTGTAAGATAGAGAGAGAGTTTGAGCTTAAGAAGTTAGCTGGGGAGAGAGAGATCAAGCTTTAGAGGGCGCATGCCAGGGTGGGGTGGTGGTCTTTATCAAGAGAGAGATGGAGGGAGGAATGAAGGAAAGCTGATACTTGGAGACAAAGGAGGGCATGGGTCGGGACAGGTGGATACAAGTAGGGGATGTACACACTTATATGGCGTGTAATTTGAAAACTTTTTGTGTTTATCCTCCTTTAAATTGGTGAGACTAAGAACTGTCGTACTAGTACTATTTATAGAGGTTAGTTTTATCGTCCACCGTCAGGGTCCAGGCTACAACTGTCTCATCTTTTGCAGCCAGCTAAAGCAATTTATGCATGCAGGAGCAGGACAGTAGTGGTTTCTTTTGGCTTTTGTCTCTTCTTTCCTCTCTCGGTTTTGGAAAGAATTATACATGAGCAAGCTAATCAAGAAATGAACTAGCTGGATACCTGCCTGACCATGATAGTGTAGATGTAGCTTGAGCATCAAGCACTTTTAAATTTGACTCATGGATCTTGACGGCGATGATGGTGCTCTTTACAGTCTTTAAGGGATAGGAAATTAAATCCTTGTGGGCCTTTTAAACTTTGCAAAATAATTCCCTTTGAAAGTACGAGACATGGAAGCATATATAGTTTACTCATGGATCTGAGGTCCTGGTGTTAGACTCGATCGAGGATTGCCAATATATATATATATATATATTGATAAACTATTAATATGTAAAATATATGCTGCTGTAAAGTCCCAAGCTTTTATATATATATATATATATATTTTTGACTTCCAAACCTTTTTTTTGTGAAACATATACTAAAAAAAAAAAAATCATTTAGTGATTTTTTAAATTATTACAAAATAGAAAAAAAGCTATCTAATTTAAATTAATAACGGTTTAAGGATTTTGTTGTTAATTTAAAGATGATTTATTCATTATTAAAAAATAAAAAATCTATCGTTAAATAAAGAGAAAAGATTGTCAATTTAGCAATGGTTTTTAAAAAATCATTAATAAATCATTGTTGGATTTAGCTTCTATTTAGCGATGGTTTAAATTATTGTCAAATTTAATTTAGATTTAGCTACGAGTTTTAAATCGTCGCTAAATTAATTCCGTTTTTGGACGATATTTGTAGTCAATTATTTCGTTGTTTATATGTACCTAATAAGAAATATAAAATTAAATTCAATTTAACTACAATAATGGTATGAAATAGAATTATAGAAAATACGAATCCTTTATAGTATATAAAATTCGATCCAATTCAATATATATTCAAAAATCAAATTATATTAAAGTGCATTAATATTTCAACAAATAAAACATAAGAGCGATAAAATAAAAAAAGATAGTGATGAAGGGGCTACATGTCACATATCAACATTTTCATCCAACACATGATGGTTAGTTGTGGGATTGATGGGTGAATTATCCTTTTGTATATTTAGTAACATCTGCTCGCATTTGCTATATTATCGCAAGTTGCTCCCGATTATGTTGCTCTAATCGCTTTCGATTTTCTAGGAGCGATGTAACGGTACCTTTCGGCTTTTAGATCTTTTTTTCTTGTCTAGCGAGTGTTGGCCTCCACTTTTTTAGATGCACCTCAATATCGACATATAACCGGGATGTGGTAGAACTAGAAGATGAACGGATATTTGAGTAATAATGAGAGGCTTGTCACCCGAGTTCGTACATTCTCTTCCTCTTACTATCTCCTCCTCCGATAGCCCTCTCAAATATCTTATTCATGTCAATGTCGGGCATTGAAGTACACTCCGTCCCTCAACTAGCAACCTCTTCCTCCAATATTTCATCAATGGTGTCCTACATAATTACAATACTTTTAATATTAAATAGTAATCTCAATAAGTTATATAAAAGTGACATATGTATGAAATAAGATTATAAATTACTTACCCTAAGATTTTTTATCCGTTGATCGATGAATACATATCATCAATCTTTAATATGAGTTTTCAAGAACACCTCGTGAGCATTGGGTTCACAACCTAACTCTTTACGCTAAACAAATATATTTAAATACATATTAATGTTGTAATAATTAAAAATAATATATATATATATATATATATATATATATATATATATATATATATATATATATAATAGAATCTACCATGCGTAATGCGTGCTCTCTATGTGTGATCGAACCCCTTGTATGTCTATATGGGCCAGCCTTGATGCCACCCGTTTTGTTCATGCGATTCCGAGCCACTTACTCGGATCGAGCCCAAAACACAAGTTTTGTCCATTCGTTCTACCATGCATCCCATATCTCCTATGAGATATACGTTAGTTTGGGCTTTGTTTTCACATTAGAAAAAAGTCCGAATATCACTTCCATGCTAGACTCTCATGCTTTTCTAATGTTTTGATTAAACTCCCGGTCCCACATAAAGAACTTTTAACAAGAATGTTAAAAATATTAATTAGTACATTAATTAACTTAATTGAAATATATTGTTATATATTAAGCTATATATTAACTTAAACTTTTCCTAATATAACTCTTTAGTTTGCTCGATAATTGACTTCTACGACCTTCCGGATAAGTCGATATGCTCATAGAATATTTTATAGATCCAATAAGAGCACACATTGGATGAATATAGTCTATCAAACAAGACACTTAATAGTTAAATGATGTATTAATATAATGATACATCATAAAAAATATAATAAAAAATATGCATAATACATACTTCTTATCATTAACGAGAGTAATCGAAATGCGAGTATCATATACGGAACTAGTAGGTGCGGAAGACAAACCGAAGGGATGTATGGCAATTGGCCATGAGTAGGTACTCGATTGTTTTTCTTGTTAGGGCATGGGCCCTATTGACAAAAAGGTTTAAAAGTGTAGGTGCGTGGTCCATACTAATAGGGCTCGGATCGAGACATGTCAAACGATGATAGGTATGACATGGGGGCTGTGGGAGGGAATGTCCTCATGTTGATGGTGGGGGCCATGCAAACTAGAATGGAAGCAATACTACGCCCACGTCCACGATCATTATCATTGTCGGTGTCTAAACCCAAGACCCTTACCATCTAATATAAGTCACTACATGCAGCAACGTCCTTTATCATGAGGCATAACCGATACATTATCACGTTATTTAGTTAATCAAACAAAACAACCGTAAAACATCTCTATTATCATAAACAAGTTAACAAACATTTATTTTATGATCAATAAATACATTCATAATTAAATTAACATACACGTTCACATGGCTAACCCTTGTCATCATCAACTTGGATAATATTGTGTTGGGCTTCCATATCGTTTTCCCGAAATGGTTCCTTATTTTTTTGACCGTAGCTAATAATTTTGGCACATCCATCTCCGGCATCGATTTTACCTTACATATAACCAACCAATCACACCTAATGCGCTTTGAGGTATGATATATGGCATAATACACCTAATATGCTCGTGTTGTTAGGATAAAGAGATCGGATCTATTTGACGTCCTACGACTATGTACCTTTACTAGTTCATACCGATCATCAATCCTTGTATCAATACCAAGTGAAGTATCATACTAATCACATTTGAACAATACGAGTTCTCTTAATTGGTGATGTGAGATACTCAAATTTTAGTATATTAGTTAACCTACTATAGTAGTCATTTTTCTTAGCATTGTAACTAACTCTTTTTACACACACTTCATTACATATTATTTTTTTCTTCTAAACTATGGCTTTTAGTGTGAATATTATACCCGTTCATAATGTATCTCGAATACCACTTTGTTGTTCGTAAGGCCTTTTTATGAGATCTTTAATGTAATGGTAGTTAATCGAGTTGAGTTATACATTACTTGCCTATAAATTTGAAATCTATTCCTTATCGGTAATATAACATTTCATCATTGCAACTTACCGAAAAAATGAATTCAAAATTGATGATACTCACATATTGATAAAACTATGATGCAAATTTATTTTCAAGCAAAGCATTAACCTCATGCTTCGATATATTAGGATTACTTTGAGAAAGTTGGCTTACAAAATAACTATTAAAGGAACAATAATTTTTAGATTTTTAATATCTTTATTATATATAATTGATAATTAATGAAGTTGAGTATTGAAAATTTTTTAATTTTAATACTTGCTCGGTATAAGGTGTCACCTTATCCGGTTCGATAAAATGTAAACATAGGATGTAAGGCTTTTTTATCCGTCAATATATATGATTTTGCACGACCAAGAGATTAACCTTTCGGTTTGAATATAGCAAGCATCCCTTCAATTTCATCACTTGATTCTTGAGCATACTTAAGGTTACATGACACTTTTCGATGCATA